TACTTCCTTGTTCTGCTCAACATGTAATCAATCGCTCACGTGGCCTCACTCGTCCTTTTAATCACTTTTTGTCATTGCAGCTCAGTCGGAGCCCACAGGCTGGAGATCAATCCAGTCTCTGTGTCAGCTGACGATCCATGGCTGAATCCGGGCCCTGCTCCCTCCCATTTGTGCTATCCATGACAGCACGGTGTGGTGTGACCTGTTGTGGGCCAGCAGCACGTGATGCTGAGCCCTTGCCACGGGTCCCTCAGCAGCTCTGATGGCTGATGGGCTCTGCAGGATGATGGCCCTGTGGCAGCATCCCTCTTACTGAGGGACCAGGGCTGGGGCCAGGCTGGCTGCAAGGGCAGGCAGGTATTTGCCATGGTGTCCAGGCTGGGGAGTCCCCACGGACCCAGGGTGAATGCAGGGGTCTTGCCTTGGCACACCCCTTTGAGCTGCACAAGCTCCCCCGAGTGCCTGATTTACTTACCTGCACCTTCATTTTTATTTACTGTTTGCTAATCCTGTTAACGGAATGGGGAAAGAAAAGATTAATTCACTTTGACTCCAATGACTTGTTAATAATTGATGTATTGACAAGAGCAGGCTGCCTGATGACCTTAAACAGCCACCCAAATCCTGTGTTGAGCTGTTTGACCTTTTAAGCCAGTTCAGGTTCTTCCTGCAGAAGAAACCAGTGTCCGCTTTGATTTAGTGCAGGAAAATCCCCCTTAACCTTCAGGTGTCGGTGAGGATGTGTTTAATTTACAGTAAAGCCAAGTCATGATCACCAGGAGAATGAAAAAGTCCTTCTGTGGTGGGAAGTTATTACCACTCCCTCCACGGTGATGATCTCCCCAGCTCAACAAGCCAATACCTCTTTAATTATTGAAAAGAAGCTTCAAGGGGAGGTTGGAGAGCCACCAGGCTGTGGAACAGCAGCCACAGGGTCGCCTTCTCTGGTGTGGGGACTGAGCAGGATAGCCTGTGACTATTGCTCTGCTCCAGGCTTCAGAACCTCCCCTCCATGGAGAGACCACTACACTTCTCATGCACGTCCTGTCCAGCATCTGCTGCTCTGGATTTGTCCTTTATGAGGGACAGAAGGTAGCTCATAATACGAAGCATCCCACTGAGCGCGCCTCTCTGCAACTGCAAGAACAGATCAGGATCTGGAATTGGATGATCTTTAAGGTCCCTTCCAACCCAAACCATTCCATGATTCTATGATCCACTTTCAAATTCTAAGATCTCCATCAGTCCCATTGCGACACAGGAGGGGCAGACTCAGCCCTCAGGGACCTGCTCGGGGGCACCTCGCCCTGACCTGCACCCATGTGTAGGTGCCCAGGACCACGGCACCTGTGCACAGAGCAGTACTTCACTGCAGATGTGCCCTGTCCCAGGGTGCTCCCAGCAGCAGCAGAAGCCCTGGGAGCCCATCTCCTCCCCTCTACTTTCGCTCCCTCCTGCAGCTGCAGCATTGGCAGTGCCCGGCTGGTCCCTGGGGCGCTGGGGCTCTTCCCATGCAGGTGTCAGCCTCAGTCTCCCCTTGTTCCACAGAGCCAGGGGCTGTGGGGAAGCTGCCCGCAGGGTGCCAGCACCAGGCTGCCCGGGCACAGCTCCTGTGACCACTGCAGATGATTGAACCTCCTTTAAACTACCCCAGGGTCAGCAGCTCAGTTCTTTGGGATGGATCCTGGAGTGCCCAGGGGATGGAGGGTGAGCAGGGTGTGCACAGGAGGTGGCCCTGCTGCGGCCAAGCCCCTTGCTCTGTTTCCGCAGCTCTGCTTTGGGAACAGGCTGCAGAGAGGCTGCTCAGCAATTATCAGTAGGAAGATGTGAGACTTCGCCAGGCTTCTTAATTAAGCCCCCATGTGGCCTCTTGGAGATTCATCACACAGCACTGAAAACTGTTCCCACCATCCTCATTCCCCTTGGAAGGGCAGGAGCACCAGGAGAGCCTTTGTTTAGGGGTTTTGGACCTCGGTGTCTCAGCAGGACGCTGGAGCTGCGGAGATGCCCCATGCATGTGATGTGCTGCTGTGCCGTACAGCAAGGGGGAGGGCACAGCAGCTGGGTCCTGCAGCAGGGATGAGGATTCATCCTGACTGGAGTGGTTTGCTCAGCCCCAGATGGAAACAACCATCCCTCCTTTTGCCTGCTCCCCCTTGGGATAATGCCGCTCTCCCATGCCTGCTCCTTTGTCCTGAGCCCCCACTGGGATGAGAGCCAGGTCCCTGGGGGACAGATGAGGTGCAGAGCTGGGGCCTCGCATGGGGGACCCCAGAGCCTTGTGGGGGGCACAAGAACAGGAGAGACCCGAGGGTGTTACCGCCTTGCACCCCCCTGTCCGCCTCCTGCTGCACCCTGGCTTGTCCAGACCCCGCACTGAGCCCTGCAGCCCCTGCCCTGGCCCCTGCAGGGGCAGCCGGGCGGCACCGGAGCCTGGAGGAGCCGCTTTGTAGAGCAGTAGAAGCTCCTCCAGCACAGAGCCTGTGAGCTCATTTACATACTCCTGGTTTAATTCTCCTAGGGTATGCAAATATATGCAAACAGCAATCCAGAGAGAGTCAGAAATAGCACAGAACATTAAAATCACCCTACTTGAATATTGTTTTATGCAAACGATGTACGCACGCAGTGTGTAGCTGATTTAAATAGAAGCAATGTCAGCATGGCAGTTATTTACCCTTCCAATGATCTTAGCAATTTTTTTTATTAAACTTATATAAAATATATTGAACAGGCACCAAGAACGTAGAGAGTATTTTAATGTTAGCCTTAACTAACGCGGGGAAAAGGGCAAACTTTTCCAGCTGCCTGTGCACAAAGGGCACTTAAGTGTTATTTTTCCTCACTTGCCTTTTGCATGGATGGTCTGTGATGTGCACACCCGGATGCTGCTGGCACTGATTTGCTGGTGCCATTTCTGCCCTGGTGGTGGGAGCACCCTGTGTTCCATAGAGGGACTCCTTCATGTGGGACTGCTTCTGCCTCCATCCTGGCTCCTGCTCCCATGTGGTGGGATCCTGTTCCATGTGAGCCCTGGGAGCTCACACCTGCGGAAGCCAAGGTTGGGAGGGCTGTTACTGACCTGCTGCAGGAGAAGCAAAGTGGCACCTCCTCAGGATCCAGGAGGGCAGCCTGTGGGGTGACAGCATCCCCCAAAATGCACATCCTCAAGGGGTTGATGCAGTGGGCACAGGGCTGGTCCCTCCATGCCAGCGGGTCCCAGGGGCCCAGGTCTGCACACAGGGTGCTGTGTGGGGTTAGCACACTTGGAAGGTCACACATCTCAGCTGAGATCCTTTTCAACTCTCAGATTGAACAGCCCTGGATGTAAATAACTCATTTATAACGACGCCTACACATCGACCTGGCCAGCTTGGCCAGGGATGTGACACCAGCTCTCCACCTGCGCTGGAAAATGGTGCCTAAAGCTCCATCCGATGGCCTGGGAGCACTGCAAAGGCCCTGGGCACACTGTGCCCCTTGTCAGGCCATGGGCACAGGCACCGGTGGACAGGAAGCAATCCCCAGGTGAGACCCAGGCTGTGACACAGGGGACACCCCCAAACCTCATGGGAAACTCATCTGCCCTGATGCTTCCCCTGTTCAGACACCCTCAATGGGCATCTCGCCCCAGAGCTGTGACCCTGGTCCCATGGGGCCACCCCAGACTCCGTGGGGCACAGTGAGGATGTGGGGAGCTGGGGAGCGGAATGGGTGTGACCAGCCACGGCCCCCCAGCACTCCCCTGTGCATTCAGTGGTGCTGACACCCAGACAAATGAGACATCTCCAGACACAAGCTCGGCACCTGACCGCAGAGTAAATGAACGTAAAAAGGGAAAGAGGAAGGGGAGTGAATGGGAGGGAGGGAGAGCGGGAGCGGAGCGCGTCGTGCAGATGGCTCTATACATCATGCGACAGACACTATTTGTACTCTATCATGTGCATGTCATAGAGCTTATCTTCCCCGGCCCCGGCGAGGTGCGAGCCGAGCGGGAAGACGGAGCGGACTTTCCTCCTAATTAAACATCAAGGGCATGACGGATGAGCCCTGCACCGGGCAGAACTCGAGCTCCAGGGGATGTGCTCGGGTGTCGGTGCTGCCAACCATGGGAGATGCCATCAGCCCCTTGTGCCACCCCCAGCCCAGGGACAGCGCTGGGCAGGATCCTGCCAGACCCTCTCCTATTGGAGCATCCCCACATGGTGAGAGCACAGTGCTGTGCCTGGGCACTGGGGGGTGTCACTTGCTTCGTCCTCTGGAGATGCCCATCCATCCCCTTCACCTGCAAACATGCCAAGGAAGCGTCTATCGACTGTGAACCCATGAGGGCAGAAGAGCTGGATCTGACACTGCTCCTGACACACGCAGCCTCCTGCCCAGCGAGTCCTTACCCTCACCAGAGATGTCCCCTGGCTCTGCTGCAGCAACCAGAGTCCTTTCCCGTGCTGACAGGTCATGGCGGGGGGGCACTGAGTTCAATTCTAGGGCTTTTGCTCAGCGTTTCTGCAGCACAGTAAATGCTCCTGAAGTCCTTTGCTTGGGTAAGGCTCCTGCCAGGTGCCTCCACACGTGAGGCTGCACGGCTGAAGACAAGAGTGGGCACAAAATGCCTTTTGTTTGCTCCAGTTTGTTTTCAACATTACCCTGCCGGTGCCAGGCTGTTGGAGGGGCTCTGCCTGCAGAGGAAATGATGGCACAGAGCAGTTTTTCAATCAAGCTCACAGTTCCAGCACTCTTTCTGTTGAGTTTCGGTTCTGCCTCTGAAGCCCCATCTCCACAGAGGCAGTTAAACCTCTAAGTTTTAAATACATTTAGAACGAACCTCTCTGAAGGCAGTGAGTGCATTACCCTGCCTCTGTGCGGGTGTGAAGAGAAGCATGGTGCTGGACATCACACTGCATCACATTGCCAAGTGCCTGTGGCCGCCCTGGACATGCAGCTCCCTGGTGCCAGCTGGACCCAGTGCTCTGCTCCCCAAACCCCGCTCACTGCAGCAGCAAGAGTCATGGCCTGCACTGAATCCCCCCTCAGGGGATGTGGAGGCTGGAAGAGCCCCCAGGAGAAACACGGGAAGGAGCTTTCCCCTCTGCTGGGGCTGTCAGTGTTGATGCAGGAGCTGCCTGTCCATTATGTCTGCAAGCGCAGGGAATTACTGTCAGCTGTGTTAGACAAGCACTGCTGTGTCGTGCTAGTGCCCAACGCACAGCTTACACACCACCTTTTTATCCTCTGTTGGTATTTGGTGTCCTGTTTAGATGTGCAGTCACTGGAGCTGGGTGCCTGCATACTGGAAGCAGTATTTAAACAGCGGCACCCATCGCAAGGCTTGGCTCTAGGGTGTGTTAGAGCAGAGCAGAACAAAACTGATTGGAGTGGAGGAGATTTTCTTTGTCATCCCTCAGCATCCTGGGGGAAGAGAAGGGTCTGGCTGGTGCTGAAACAAACCCTGGATGTGTAAGAGAATTTGCCTGGTGAGGGTGGAATTACTGCTGGCAGGGGGTCCTGCGTCTGTGCCTCCCTTACAGCTCACGTCAGCCTCGGGGCCCTTTGCTGGGTCCTTGCCCAGAAACAATTTTCTCCTTACCAGGCTGTGGTCGGGAGGGAACCGCTCCTGGGAAGCTGGTGTGCGGCTGCGGGCTGCTGCATCCCAGCCCCGGCTGCATTCCCGGCCGCATTCCTGGGCTGCTCTGCTGGTGGGGGGGGGGGAGGCTGCAGCTTTGGCAGCTGGTGTCATGCTCCCAGTGTTTTATTTTAAACCCTTTTGGGGGTGGAAGCTTCACTGCCTATTGCTGGTACTTCTCCCATCGCATTCCAGATTAGTGGCTTCCTTATTGGCAAGGTGGGAAGCATCTCCTGTAGGAAAGGCTGCCGTCAGGCCCCTGCAGTCTGGTATTGTGCCGCATCTGCCCTCATCAGGTACCTCAGCAGTGCCCCCAGCCCAGCCACAGTCCTGTTCCCATGGGAATGCCAATGGGGCAGTGGGTACCAGAATCAGGCATAACCCTCACTACCCAGGGCAGCCCCAGGAGCCCACCTACACCCCAGGTCTGTGCCCTACAAGTGTGAATAAACGGCTCAGGTCCGGGGCATCACAGGGAAAGAGCAGTGTCTCCAGGAGACCCACAACAGCAGTTACCCATGTAGATGCCGGTGGTTTTATCACTCGGAGCCTTTGGAGTGGTTTTCAGCTGGGACCCGGTGTTTGTTCAGGGAGATCCTTGCTGCCGCGACCTTCCTGAACTGCCACATTCCTTTTAATTATGATTGGCAGCCCATGGAAATTCGGGCCCTTGATTGGCAGCTGGAGTAACTCTCTTCCTTCCCACAATTCTTCAGGTTCCTTCCCATCAATAGACATAATGTTGGCTACTTTTCTGGGATAAATAGCAACCTTTGCCCCCCTCCTTTATTTGGCAAACGCTCAACACTTCATTCTTTTCAGAAAGCCCCTTGGAATGCAGTTGAGAAGGGCCTCAGCAGTGCTGCCCTCCTCCTCCTCCCCATCCTTCTCCTCCTCCTCCTTCTCCTCCCCATCCTCCTCCTCCTCCTCAGCGCCTGGCCGGGGGACTTTTGTGCGAGAGCAAACAAAGGCTCATTGGCAACACTTCTGGATTTCATTTCAAAATACATTTGTCACTCCGGAATAAAATAAACGGAATTTTCTGCCGGGTTTTTTCTTGCTTGACTCCTCCCTCAGGTTTCTTGCGAGCAGCTCTGGTACTGAGATTGCTGGACAAAGATTTGCAAAGAGTAAATGGCAGTGGATGCTTGCTCCAGGGCTGCTTCCCTTCGTGTCTGTTCTGCAAAGGGGCTTCCATGCACAGCAGCTCCATGCAGCAATGCAGTTAGTATGTCCACCCAGTGCAGTTAGCATGTCCATCCACCCTGTGCTCCTCCCTGTCCCCGCTGAAAACCCAGGCTGCTCCTATGACCTTCTCCCTATGGATGCGGTTCTGAGCTCAGCCAGCACCCAGCAACCCCCAACCCAATAGAAACTTTTAGCTGTTAAGATACTTTTCCAAAACCACCCGAGTGCTGCAGCAGCTCAAACCACAACCAAGCACTGCTTTGGTTCACAGGGCCTCAATATCAGTGATTTTCAAGGACAGCAAGGTCATTTTTGACCATGGGTCTTGGGCTCGGAGCTCCTGGAGTTGCCCTCAGGAAGGGCTGTCCGTGACCTAGGGTATTTCTCAGGGGGTGTCTGCCAGGGGATGGAGCCGGGTGCCAGGCCTGAAGCTGTAATGGGCAGTGCTCGCCACCACTCAGCCCGTGTGTCAGTAATGAAATGAAGCTCAGCCCCAGCTCCTCAGCGCTTCTTGTGCTCGACAATAGGCAGAGACAGAAGGGTTTGAAAAATGATGAAGAAAATACTTGAAGGCTGTATTTTAAAGGAAATGAGGAGGCTCCCGAGCTGCAGAAATTGCTTGTGTGCACAATAGAGACATTCACCCCTCTCCATCAGCCCCAAAGTGAAAGTGTTTTAAAGAGAGATGATAGGCCTCGACACTTTCTGCTTCTCAAGAGCAGGGTGGATGAGGAGACAATTAGCAAAATGCAGTAGCATTTGCATTTTCAGGAATCCTTGAAGGATCCTTACGCTCTGCTGGAGGAAAAGGGGGATGGAAGCGGCAGCCTCATGGGATGAGCCCCGAGAGCGCAAGGTCCCTTCTGGAAATGCCAGGCATGTCTTTTAGCATGGAGCAGGCACCTTCCAGCCACATACCGCCTCCTTACAAGACAGTCACAAAAACTCTGGGACATTCACGAGGATTTCCTCCTTCACAAGGTCTCCGTGGCTGTTTCCCGATGAATCCACATCCGTCAGACCTCTGGTTAGCTTTTAGGCACCCTCGTTGATCATCTCTCTTTGTTCTATGCTGTTCGCCATTAAAGCCTGTGAAGCTGATTGTCCATTTACCGCTGGCTGTGCAGCGCAAGGAGGGCTGGTGGGCAGTTCCCAGGGTTCTGTCTGCTGGAGACCCACGCTGCTGAGGCTGGGATGCAAACAGCGGAGCGGGCAGGATGCAGGTTATGGGTGGCCGTGGGGCTGCAGCCGGTGTTCGCAGTACTCGGGGCTGTGGCTGCCGGGGCACCGGGTGTTCCCTCTTGCCACATCTCCCCTCACCACACACAGACCGACCATGCTCACATTCACAGGAGAGGAAACCCACGGAGCAGCCGGAGGGGCCCGTGTGCTATTAATGGAGATGTATCTTCCCCTGTTGTTGTTTGCAGCTTGCAGGAGCTGTGGAGAACCGCAGAGACAGGAACCAAAAAGGGGCTCTGCATCCTCCCGCCTTCCCCCCCCCCACTGCAGGGCTTGGTCCAGCCCCCCCATTCCAAACTGAAACCCAGCCCCAGGTGCCCTGTTTTGCTGTTCCCTGTTTTGCTGTTCCCCGTTTGCCAACTTCACCCTGCACAGAAAGAGGAAATCCAAGGGGGGATGAGGTGTCTGAGTGCCCCAGCAGCCCTCCCCAGAGCCCCACAGGCACCGGTGGCTTGGGAACAGGTCCTTGTTTCTGTGAGCTTGTCTCTCACCATCTGGTGAGACCATCACCATTTGGCACTGAGCTCTGCCAAAGGTCTTCCATGGCTGGGACAGTTGGCACGAGCCTCCACTGGTGCCTGTACTCTGTGTGGTGATGGGTGAGCCCAGCCCTGGGCACTCCATGCAGGAGCCCTTCCTCATGGAACAGGGAGGAATGTCATTGTCCCACACTTGTGTCAGATTTGGTTGAGATCTGTCAGGAGATTAGGAGGTTATTACAGCAGACATGTAGCCAGCTAGAGACAGGCATGGACAGCCCAATCACAGCACTTGCATTTCATTAGAGACTGAGCTAAATCCATGCTGGATCTTATCCGCCTCTCCCCACAGCCCTGATTCGCTCCCCCTTTCCATGTCTATGCTCATGGGACAGACTGGTTTCAATAAACTGGACACCCCAGAGGTCACTGGGTGAGATGGACAGTGCAAAAAAGAATGAAGAGATGATGATTCTGGGGGACTCCGCACATCCTGCTTGGTTTGAAGGGGAGAAGGAAGCTGGATCTGTGGCTGGAGGGGTTCACTGGGCTGCTCCTCAAACTGGGCTTTTTATCCACAAGGAAAAGGTGTGAATGCTGTGGTAGGGCCAGGATGTACCTAGGTTTGTGCTATGCACGGTGCTGAGCAGAGGGCTGTGGGTCAGACCTGTGCACACACCGTGGTCCTGGAGTTGGGCAGGATAAACACGAAGGTGCATAGAGTCACTGCCAAACATCCGAGCGGGCAGGGCAGTTTTGGTGCAGCAAATCAGAGAAAGAATGGGCTGGTCATGAGGAGAAGCAGAGCAGGGTGGGTGTCAGTGAGGAGAATGGGATGGGTGGTGGTTGTGTGAGGAAAGAATTCCTTGTGAAGAGACAGAGACCAAGAAGAACAGAGCTGGTGCTGGCCCGTGGTGTCCCTGCACAGGCAGCAGGATGGGTCCCCAGTCCCTCTGGGCAGCTGTGCTGGAAGGGGCTGGGGAAGGTGACAGGCAGGGGAGGAGGAGGATGGTTTGTGTTCTGGCACTGGCCAGCACTCCCAGCTGTGGAGTGCTCCCTCTGTGCTGGGGACTGCTTAACATGGAGCTAAAAATACTCCTTATCCCAGAAAGCTTGTTAGTAGAGCTGGGTCGCAACAGATGGATACAGACGGATGGGGAGAAGAGGAAACAACAAGGCAATACCAGTAGCATGATGTGCGCTCGCTAAAGCACAGCAGCAGCCTTGCTGCGCAGGCAGTGGCGAATCTCAAGGAGAGTTTCGGTTCCTTTGGGATGCTCACAGGTGGTTCGTCTGAAGCATGACAGCCAGCATGAGACAACACACTTGTTTGGAAACCCGGGAAATGGTTGATGAGAAAAGGAGCTCTTGTCTGCTCCTGGTTCTGTGTGGACAACAAACATGCTCCAGCATGAGTTGGGAGCAAGCAGGCTCTGGCTGAGAGCTAAGCAGCCCTGTCCTATGCCATGCCATGCCATGCCATCCCATCCAATGCCATCCCATCCCGTCCCACCCTCGATGGCCCTCCTTGCTGCCACCCTGTCCCATTCTCTTTCCAGGCAGGAGGTGGGTGACCTCCAGTCCCAGCAGCTTGCATCTTGGACAAGGATTTGCCAAGAGCTGGTGTGGGTGGGAACCAGGCAGTAGCAAGCCCTGGCAGCTCGCGCCGCGGCACAGGCAGCACGCCTTGATGTGCTGTATATTAAGTGGAGTGGCAGCTGCGATATTGCCGTCTAAAACTAAGTGCAAAATTTACAGCAGTAAATTCTTCTCTCTTCAGGGTGGTTAATTATCTTAATTACTTTTATTATCTTTTATCTTTTAAGATCCTAAATTGCTTATTTCTGCTTGTGTTGCCAAAGGGGGTTGCATATTTTTTGCTGGCACACGCTGTGTGGAGGCACCGATGTGCGTGTCTGCGTGGTACACTTTAAAAGAACTTTGATTTATACAAGACTTCTCCTTGGGATTTTAATTGTAGCAAACAGGGAAAACAAAGTTCAGTGAAATATTGACTGACTGAAGAGCTGACAAGTGGCTCTTTCTTTTTGTTCAAGGCAGGGGTGAAGCCACTCCTACTGAGGGAGGGGATTTTGCTTTCTGGGACCCCAAGGCTGAAGCCTTGGGGATGTGGCCAAGGTGAGCACTGTGAAAGGCCCCTGAGGTGGCATGGTGTGGTGGCAGTGATGGGCCCAGCATGCCGTAGCACACAAATGGGTGCCAGCCAAGGGCAGGGACGCAGGCATCGGGGCTGTGGGTCCATTGATCAGCACATGAGGGGAACTGTGTCCATCCCCAGCACACATGGGAGCACCCAGCCGCAATCCATCACCCTGGGCACTCATTATCCTTCCCCATCTCTGGCTTTTCCTGTTCCTTCTCCAAGGTGGTTCCTGCTCTTCAGTGAAGCTCCTCTGGAGGGTGTGAAACCTGCTCCCAGGGAACTGCCTGAGCTGTGATTTCATCCCATGCTTCCATCCCAGGGGACCACAGAGGATCTGCAGCTGAGGCACCTCTGGCAGCCCCTCTGGCACTGCGCGGCTGCTGCTGTCACAGTGGGTCCCCTCACCACGTCCCCTGCAGCACCTGCAGGCACCCCCTCTCCTGCTGCCACCCCTGCAAATACCCATCCCCAGGGATCTGCTTCCCTCTCCTCCTCCTGTTCCCTCACTTAACCCGTTTTCCTCTGCTCTTTTCTGGGAAAGAAATCTCTGGGAAAGCTGCCTCAGCCCCTGGGGAGCAACCTCGGTGGAGCTGAGCAGAAAACAGCCCTGCACCAAAGAGCAAGGAGGAAGGAGGGAAGGGCTCCTCCATCCCGCAGAGGAGCCTCCTAAATGCTCCCAGGTGCTTTTCAAATGGAGCTGGAGATTTCCTCCGTGTTTATTTTCAATGCAGAGGGAGCCAGGGGGGAGG